AGAAAGGGTTTCGCCATGATGGCCAGGCTAGTCTCAAACTCCTGATCTCAGGTGATCTACCTGCCTCAGCCTCCCAAAGTGCTAGCATTACAGGTGTGAACAACCGCACCTGGCAAATAGTAAATTTCATTACTTTTATAACTTTATATATTTTGTAAATTAAGCTTTTATTTTTTAAAATGTATTCACTATTATTTTTAATAGAGACAGGGTCTCACCATATTGCACAGGCTGGTCTCAAACTCCTGGGTTCAAGCCATTACCCATCTCAGCCTCTCAAAGTGCTGGGATTACAGGCATGAGCCTCCACACCCAATCAAATTAAGCTTTTTTTTTTTTTTTTTTTTTTGAGATGGAAATTAGCTCTAGTTGCCCAGCTGTAGTGCAATGGCGCGATCTTGGCTCACTGCAACCTCTGCCTCCTATGTTCAAGCAATTCTCCTGCCTCAGCCTCCTGAGTAGCTGGGATTATAGGTGCCCACTGCCACGCCCTGCTAATATGTTTTTGTATTTTTAGTAGAGATGGGGTTTCACGATGTTGGTCAGGATAGTCTCAAACTGTTGACCTCAGGTAATCTACCTGCCTCGGCCTCCCAAAGTGCTAGTATTACAGGCATGAGTCAAAAAAATTTTTAAATGCTAAAAAGAGGCCGGGTGCAGTGACTCACACCTGTAATCCCAGCACTTTGGGAGGCTAAGGCAGGTGGATCGCTTGAGATCAGGATCTGAAGACCAGCCTGGCCAATATGGTGAAACCCCACCTCTATTAAAAACACAAAAATTAGCCAGGCGTGGTGGCAAGCTGCTATATTCCCAGTTACTTGGGAAGCTGAGACAGGAGAATTGCTTGAACCTGGAATGGGGAGGTTGCAGTGAGCTGAGATTGTGCTACTGCACTCCAGCCTGGGCAACAGAGCGAGACTCTGTCTCAAAAATAAATAATAAATAAATAAATAAATAAAACAACTGGTTAGATTTAGAGGTTTGCTTAAATTTAACTTCATCTTTTGAGATGTTTATTTTTGGCAAGAATACTTCATAAGTAACACTAGGCATTATGCACAAGTTTATTGTCTGTTGAAGTAAGTATATATCATGTGGAATTTATATGGATTAGAAAGAAACTAGTACAGAAGCAAATCAGTATTGTATCTATTTACTGTTTTTTAGCCAGAAGATCAGCTGCCATGTTACTTGACTCATACCAACCCTAGAGTGGATGAGATTGTCCTTAAGAACCTTCACCTTAATAGTCATGTTAAGGAAACAATAAGAGGACCCCGGTAAGGACAAAATATCAGTGCTCAACTACTTTAAGGAATGATGTCAATCCTCTTTTATTCATTTCAAATTTGTTTCAATGTTCTATTCTAGATACTGTCCCTCCATTGAGTCAAAAGTTTTACGTTTTCCAAACCGTCAACATCAGGTTTGGTTGGAACCTGAAGGAATGGATTCTGACCTTATCTACCCACAGGGGTTATCTATGACACTACCAGCTGAGTTACAAGAGAAAATGATCACATGCATCAGAGGCTTGGAGAAAGCTAAAGTGATTCAGCCAGGTAAAGAGGATCACAGCTACCCTTCAGTGTAAACTCAGCATTGTTTTAATGGTCAGTAAGGAGGCCTTAGCTAGTCATTGTTGCTTACAGTCTCAGAAGATGAAGCCCAACACCTGTACATTTTAAATACTCTGTTTTTAAAGGGCATTTAAGGGTAATGTTTGCTTCTCTACCTTGAGCAAACCCAACTCTGTGTTTACTTATTTAATGCCTTTACTCTTTGGTCAGGCTATGGTGTTCAGTATGATTACTTAGATCCCCGTCAGATCACTCCTTCTCTGGAAACTCATTTAGTTCAACGGCTCTTCTTTGCTGGACAGATCAATGGCACCACTGGTTATGAGGAAGCAGCAGCTCAAGTAAGAAGTTGTTAAGATGTTACTGTAAACCGAAAGGGACTATTTAACTGGTATTTCTCCTTTTAATGTATGTTCTGTTAACTACATAGATTTTAGATACAACTTATACTAATAGAAGACAATTTCTATTTTGGGGTATTTGGAAATGGCTTTTGTAGATAATAGGATTTTTTTTCTTTCTTTTTTCTTTTTTTAGACACAATGTCACTCTGTCACCAGGATAGAGTGCAGTGGTGTATCTTCTGGGTTCAAGTGATCTGCCTGCCTCAGCCTCCCAAGTAGCTGGGACTCCAGGCATGTGCCACCACACCCAGCTAGTTTTTATATTTTTAGTGGAGATGGAGTTTCACTGTGTTGGCCAGGCTGGTCTCAAACTTCTGACCTCAGGTGATCCACCTGCCTTGGCTTCCCAGAGTGCTGGGATTACAGGTGTGAACCACTGTGACTGACCAATAATAGGATTATCAAATCACTTATGGCTTTATTACGCTTTTCTGAGCTCCTGTGATAT